TTAATAGGTATATATTATAATGTAGTTAGTATTGATAATTGTGATGTTATAAATGTATTATTTTTAATAGAGAAAAGGGTCAAATTAGGCCTTCTACTATTATGAAATAGTCACACAAGACCATGTACTCAATAAAGTGTCATATAAGTACATCTACTTGTAAAAAAAATCAAATGAGTCCTAATGACCTATTTAACATCTTAATCCTGGTTTCAACGTACTTGTGACCATCTTTTTAGAATACATTATACGGCATATGTTGAATATTTAACTAAGATTGGTTGAAATACAAGTCAAAAAAATTGACATGTAAGCTAAAATCGGGATTAGGAGGTGTTAAATAAGTCGTTAGGACTCATTTGATTGATTTATACAAGTAGATGTACTTATATGACACTTTATTGAGTACATGATCTTATGTGACTATTTTATAATAGTAGAAGGCCTTATTTAATATTTAATATCTTTTTAATATTTAATGATTAATTTGTCACTTAAGATTGATAATTGTTTCCTAAAATGGAAATGAGTGAACCTTTATATGAAACGTCCAAAAAGAAAAATGAGAACCTTCTAATGAGACGAAAGGAGTATATTTTATTGGCCGAGAAAAACTACATGGAAAGAGGATTAAGGTGGGCATATTTATAGTGGGTATCTTGAGACCTTCACTGCCAATATCATTTATATTGCATATTCATACTGCCAGATGGAGTACTTCATGCATATGAGGACACTCTTTGCCATTGTTCTTAGTGTTAAGATTTATCCTATGGAGACCAAGTGGCTTGTGACATGGCTAGTAACTTGCTGCATCACCATATTTTGATATACTAGTTCATCGGACCACTAATCAAATTTTAGTTTGATTCCATGAGACTTTATCCTAAATTGAAGTAAATAACGGAAGTAATGATTTTTTTTTACCCCTTTTGACTTAATTAAATTTTCCCTTTTGACTCGATTAGTTGAAATATATTTTAGATTGTTAACATTTTGCCCATATTTTATTTATTAGTATTAACGAGGAAGTATAGTTATATTTCAATTTTAGCTAGACTGGTTTTCAAGGCATTACACGACGCTAGTGTTGAGGTTTATTCCTTCAACTCCAAAGGTCAACACTTTCCCTTGAGTTTCGAATGGAATATCTAGTGGGTTAAGTATAATATAATGCAAGCAAGCAAGGGAAGTGCAAATAAGAGAATAGTAAGTGGGCCGTATCTTATTCAATCAATAATAAGAGGTCTGTTACAACACACTTTACTACAAGCCGTTCGTCTATCTCAGCTAAGAGGAGGGGAGATAATTGTTATTGCTATAGAATACAAGTTGTCAACTCATTACAATGAAATAAAGCTATTATTTATATTACTAATGAGTAGGTAACACTGATGATGATGATGTCGAGGATTGTGAGTGACTAGCTTCCCAACCACCAAATCTACTGCAATAAATGTGTTTCCCGCCAATATCATGATTTCCCGTTAAGGGATCTGGACGAGCGTCCCCGGATCTTGGATCCCGATTCTTGCTGAGCACAAGGGAGGGGCTCCGCTCGGCTCTTGTGGATCGTCCTGCCGAAGGCCATGGAATGTCATCTAGCCCTTGTTGGGCCAAGGCCACTGAGGCCGAACGTCTAGATGTCCGGACGTGCGTCTGACCGATACCTTTGCCGAATCGTGCCCTAAATGGGCCTTGATGAAGAGGGAAAGATTTTGCTAAGGGTAATGGTCCGTTCCGCTATCGAACCTATTAACCCAACAACTAATAATTTTTTAAAAATTTGGGGCCCCATAAATCGATGAGCTGTGCTGGACAACTTATTAAACCCCTAAAAAATGGCTCTAGATAAGTATCAGTTTAACCTAAATTGACTCTTTTTATGTATTAAGTGATAAAAAACAGTAGCTTCTTTCATTTTATTAGACAAATAGGTTGATGCATTTTATTTTGATGGGATAAGATACTCAACACAACTTTTGGCGGGAACTTGCATTCCAAGTTTTATTTTGCTATTATATTAGACTAGATGATGTAAATGTCATCTTAGTCGGCTATGCCGATGCATGATATTTATTCACTTATGTTGATACCGCTTTCTCATGAAGCAAATATAATCTACCACATCATTAAATCATGCAGAACTAATGGTTCTTTATGAAGCAGACCGAAAGTGTGTGTGGTTGAGATGAATGATCCGACACATACAAAATGAATGCGCTATAAAACATTTACATGTGATCGTCCTATAAATTATGAAGATAACACGTTATGTATATCTTATATTAAAGAAGGTTACATCAAAGGAGACAAAATGAGTCCTATAATGCCAAAAAATTTCTCCACACATGATCCTGAGAAAGAAAAAATATTTGACATCAAACGAATCAAGTTTCGCGACAATCCTATTGATTTATTTGCAAAATCATTCCCTCCGAAAAATTTGGAGAACTTGTACATAAGATTGAAATGTGCTATCTTTGAGATTTATGCTCAATTGAGGGGTAGTATATGCATACACTCTTTCCCTCTTCATTCAAGTTTTTATTCCGCTGTGTTTTTTCTAATAAGATTTGTAACGAGTTAATATATTATAGTGATACAAAATTTAATTGCTATACTCTTTTTTCCCTCAACTATTGCTTTTTATTGTCATCTTCCTTAATTGCTTTTTATTCTATTATGTTTTCGTAATAATGTTTTTAATAAGACAACTAATCCTTATGAATAATTAGAAGACTGAACACTCAAGTGAGAGTGTTGAAATTATAAATATCATTTTCTAACTATTGATGATTAGAAGTCATTGTCACAATAAAAAGAAGAGAAATTACTCATAATAGGATTAAAATCGTTTGTATATTCAAAAGAGGACTATCATATTTTTATCCCAAAATAGGACTAATTACGGTCATGTTTTGACAGTACCAGACTTTAGACATGACAATATTTTCTAAACTTGGCAATAATTACTCATATTTTGGGAATACAAACATGACAGTCCTATTTTGGAATTTTTAAACTTTTTTAAATATTCCCGATAAAGAATCATGATTGCAATTTCAAGATGATAGTTGTGTCATTCATAATTAACTCATAATTCGAAAGAAATTACATTTTCTTTTATGAATATGAGTCTTCCATCCCTCCATTGCGATTTACACTTTTTAAACAAAATTTTTATCTAGTCTTCATAATAGATTTCAGAACAATACTTGTTATCTTTACATTTTTTGTTTTGATTGGTTAAAAAATTGCATAGATGGGACATATTTATCCAAACACGAAAAACCCGTTTGGAAATCACGTTTTTGGGTTATCTGTTTTATCAACCAACCTTTTCACGAAACATGTAACTTTTGATTTTACGCTCTGAATTGTGTAACATTAAGAAAAAGTAAGATTGTAATTACTTTTATGGTTGTATCACTGAAGTTACTGTAAAAGATAATTTTAGCTATTTCTTCATTTAATTTTTTCTTTATTTTATTAATAAAAATAATTTTTTATTTCCCCCCCATAAAGCAACAGCCAATCCAGTTACTTCAACCATAACTTCATAAATTTTAATAGAAAGAATTGATTCCAATTTTTACCAAATAGGCTATATAAAGGGAAATTTTACATATAGGACCTAATCATACTAATTTTACAATGTAAGACTACAAATTAGCGTAAGACTTAAGTGCACATGCTTTGACCAAATTGCCCTTGCTTTTAAATTCCGTAGCAGACCACACCTCCATTTGGATCGAATTTCATTTGAAACGCAAGCCTCACCTTCTCTTGTCACTCATTTTTAGCTTCGCATTGCCCAGATCACTATTGTTCTTCTTCCCCACTTCCCCAATTCTCCGCATATGACTCCAAAATGGGAAGCATATCTGTCACCTTCGGTTTGCCGGCATAAGAGAGGGAGGCAAGTGGACCCGCCAAAGCCGGCGGATGAGCGGGGTTCCGGTGGAATCGAGGATCAATGACACTGTTCATCGGAAACTTGCAAACACCAGACAATACATAGACGGTAACACAATAAGTTATGATAATAACTCAATAGCAGACAATACATAGACAAGAAGTAGTCATTAAACAGACAATAAGTTCTGATAATAGCTCAATAGCAAAGCAGGTAACGTAAAAATGGGAGGATATTGAACTTGACCTTGAAATTGGGAGGAAGCTTATTAGGATCATCCGAGGGAGGATATTGAACTCGATTTCACGGGAATTGGGGGGATAGGGGAGGAGTCGCTGGAATCCGAATAGGAAGAGTAGGAGTAGTTCTCCATGGCCGTGATTGCTGAGGAATTGATTTTTTGGCCTTTGTGTGTGTTTAGGGTTCCGGCGATGACGAGCTCTGACGATGATGAACGACGGTGAACTTAGATGTAGCCTGCGACGAAGAGAGGCAATTAATTAAAATCAAAACTGCACGTAGGAGGCGTAATGTTATTTGATTTCCTCTGGCGCGTCTTCTCCGTGGGTTACCTACAGTGAAGAAAGGGTAAAAATGGAAAGCAGCAATAATGTTTTCTAAAGTAAAACTATATAAATCTTACATATGAAAAAAACATAATTAAGGGGGTGTTTGGATCTGATTCTTAAAACCGTTTCTGCTCCTTCAGGGAGCAGAAGCAGAAGTTGGGGTGTTTGGGTGAAAGTGCAGAAGTGATTCTGGTGCTCTAATTTACTCCTAGAATCGGTTTTTTTAGAAACTGGGGTGACCAACTTCTGAAAACTGATTCTGATTTTGCTTTAAAAAAGAAGCAGAATCATAATTAGTTCCAATCACCCCCTAAGTCTTGCTTTTGGTCTTTAATTAGTTCCAATCACCCCCTAAGTTTTGCTTTTTGTCTTGTTCTGATTCTGTTTTAAAAAAGAAGCAGAATCATAATTAGTTCAAATCACCCCCTAAGTCTTGCTTTTGGTCTTGTTTTTGTCTTGCTTTTGGTCCAATCACCCCTTAAGTTCCAATCACCCCCTAACAATGTACTATCTGAAAACTACCGTAGGAGGATAAACTTGAAAAGTACCTAAAAAACCATCGCCTCCTTTCAGCAGCACTTCAGAGCTGTTTCAATCGAGCTCAATGAAACTTCAAGAATGCGTCGCTCAGAATTTCTAGTCGTTGTTGGCTAATTTGTCATATCATATCCTCCTTAAAAGTTAAAACGTCTATGGCGAGCAAAGAACGTTCCAGTAGGACTGGAGTCCCGTCTTTACTCAATTTATGCTTTGACGTTATCAAAGATGACCTCCTTCTCGGTAATTTTTTATTTCTACTTTTCAGTTCTTAGCTTTTAATTCTAAAATTTTATTACGTAGTTCTTTATTTCGGCTCCTGCGGTTGCCTCAGAGCTTGATTGTCCTTGCTTGATTAAGCTTTTGCTATATGAATGTTAGGTGGTGATGCTGATCTCATCGCCTGCGTTTATCAACTTCCATCGGAGTTGTTTGAGCTCTTGTTGCCACTGTTACCTCCGTTGTCTTTGCAGAGACTGCAAGAACGAATGTCAATTTCAATTGCCATTAATTAAACATCTACATATCTTATATTATTATAATATTGTAATTATAGTTGTAATTGTAGTATAATTAAAAATGCAGATGCTTATGCATGCCATATTTTCCCTTTCATTTCATCAAACATCTATGTATAATGTATTTATGGTAAAATATGTGGATTCTCTTCTTCTCATCTTATGATCATTGCTGCTAATCTGTTGTTTCGTCAAACATTCAGCCAACTTTTTTACATTGTTATATTAGCAAAGCTCAACCAATGGGTGCGCTTATTAAACTACTCCGTATCTGTTTAATGGAAATATTACCATTCATTTTTATCATGTACTCAAATTGCTTTCTATATCTCTTTTACATTATTTCAATTGTTTGCCTGACCTCAAGTGTACCTTACTGAAAGTAAAAGAGACTAACATTTCTTAAATACTAATGCTTTGACTACCCAAGTCTTATGGAACTTGTCTCTTGTGAATTCTTTGGACGCGTTTCAAGTGTCAGCCCATCATTGTGTCATGTTCAATATCCACCTTCAAGGGTTGGGAGATCATACCTAACTTATAATTTAATGCTGCAGGCCATCTGACTTTTGGGATGATCACAGATTTTCCACTGATAACTATGGCATTCCTAGAAAAAAGAGAAGGTCTGCCTGCTGTATGGACAATCATATGAGTTAAAGCAAATGGAATCCAATAATAGAGTTAATGTGTGATCAGTGTTATCATTTTCATTTCATTTTCATTTACCCGAGTGCCGCAAAGGCTCCCACCTACGGTGGGGTAAGGGGGGGTCGGATGTACGCAATCTTACCCCTGTACTAAAGCACAGAGAGACTGTTTCCGGATGACCCATAGTGAAAATCCCGTCCAAAATTGCATGGACTGACTGCTGCTTCATAACAAAGAAGCGCAAATAGTTTAGTGAGCCATTTTGCTTTATTCCATCATAATCTCAAGCCAAAAAATAATGAATCTTTGGCTCCATTGCAAATGATGGAAACGTGTGATCAGTTTTATCTTTCAAAATATATATACTCCATAGTTTGTTTCTCATGCTTTGGGCTTAACAATTATGATGAGAATTCACATTCAAAAATTAATTGAATGCAGATATGTGGGTTTTGAGAAAGCTTGGGAGGCTTTGTATAAAGCACGCTGGCCTGATTGTGACAAGAAATATATGCAATGGCGAATATTCTCGTTACAGAATGTAATCAGAAGAAGGGAGTCGAAGCATGAATTCTCTCATGACTGGCAGCAGATTTACTGGGAGAGACATCTACAAAAGTATGAGATGTGATTTATTAATATTTATAGATTTATATATGTCAGTGAATTCTTCTTGCTTCATCTGTCATTAAATAGTTTCACAATGTTAATCTGAAGTACAGTTGTCTGGATGCAGCTGCAGAAATAGCTTTGTTACCCTCTTTTGAAGGTCATATTGGTGAAATTAAAGTTCCTGGTACGTAAAAGTTTTCTTTCTTCCTACTTTATGTTGCACATACCAATATCTTTAAAGGTAAAATATCATATTAGATACTAAGAAACATAAGTGTATTACTCACGGTTGCTTACTAAAGGAACCCGAACCTCTTAAGAATTTTGGGTACAGTTTATTGTGTGCCTCCTTTCATTTGAAGTGGTTGAACTTGATGCATCAATGTAAGTACTTTAAGTCTTGTAACAATTAAGCATAGCTCAAAGAGTACATCCAGAGGACATTTCTATAGGGCTGCGAACATAGATGCTCTTAAAGTATAGAAAGTAGTAATTATAGAAACATAGTAAATTGCAATCCTAGTTTTAGTTTTATTATTATTGTTTCCTATTCTCATTGGGTTTAAGTTACCTATTCTCATTGGGTTTTAGTCTTTTAGAACATTTATTCTCTATGTAAACAATGCATTAGACTTCAGAAATCATGAATTTGTAGTTAAAGTCATGAATAAAAGTAGTATGTAGTCGATTAGTCAACAGATGCTTCTTCTCTGCAGATTCTATACTGAAGTACATTGGTTATAGGGGACACTTGCCTAACTCACCTCGTGACCCCTCAAAGCTCTCGTATCACTGCCAGCAATTTGGATTATATGCCTGGTAATAATGTGTTAGTTTTGTTTGGAAACTTTAATCACCAAACAATTGTCGAATAATTATTATTTGTTTCAAACTTTTAGTTAAGCACCCCGCACTCTCCTTTCTTGACATACTGAGGGATTGAGTGTAAAGTTAGAAGTAAAAACTGTTAAATAGTAAACTTAAAATTCACCTTTGCTGCTTACAAGCCAGGGCATATTTTGCTTCTATTACTTAATTATCATTATATCCTGAGAGTGAGTATAAGTAATTTGTTCGTATTGCAGTTATTTGAAGCTACCTGGTGTGCTTTGTGTCGCAGAAACCTGTGTAAGTTACAGTTCTTAACGGTATCCAAATGGAAAGACAAAACAAAGTATAGTCTGCTCAAACTTAAGGGTATTCATTTAATCTGTCTGGAACTGCTGTCCTTATTCATTGTTGCAGCATTTGTTAAGAAATGCTAAATTGCAGAGTTTGGAACTAAGGTGGATAAAATCTCAAACTGGAGAGGATGTAAGTTTTCTTCCTGTACTTATATATCTTAGCCGCTATAGTGGTGAGGGGGGGATGGTTTACTAATGACCAGATAAACCTATCATTAAAGTTAATGTCTGAATCATGGTGATTCAATCACCATAAATAGCATCTATATAAGCTGTACAACATCAATGCCAGTTAACATATTTTTGTGACAATTAAGTGAGTTGAGTGGAAAGAATTTATAGATCTAGTTTCATTTATTTGTTGCCTGCTGACTTTCAGGTTGAGGGATTATGTAAGCTTTTGAGGCAGAATAGTGGAACACTGAAGTCCGTTAGTTTTATATATTCCAAGTTTTCTGCATCATCTCTGACTGCAATTTGTAACTCACTATGCTTCAATGGTCTTCAAACTCACCATATCCAGCACTTCACTATCATGGCATCAAGACTTCTTTTGGACAACGATGGATCTCTTCCACCCAGTGGGCTGCTGCATTTCTTATCATCTGGGAGGTATATGTGCATTTCTCATCTTCTGCAAAATCATTGACGCACTTAAGCAATGATGGAACTTAGATTATTAGAAGAATCCTGTGCCTATCCAAAGAAAAAAAATGAGAAAAAAGTATGGCAAAGAAAGAGTATATTGCTTTGCCAATAAAATTTTAAAGAAATAGTTAAGAAGAAACTACATTTCCTTGTTATAGGCATTTATATGCAGGCAATCCCTATTATAAAAGGGAATATTGCTTTGCCAATAAAATTTTAAAGAATTAAGAAGAAACTAAGGAGAAAGAACTCCTCAATTTCCGAAGGAGAAGAAAGCCTCCTTAAAATTCCACTGCCCCCTCTGTTTATCCTTTCAAATCATTCCTGTGACGGGAAAACCCGGCACATAAAATTTCCATGTTCAATGTAACCCTTTTCTTTCTTATATAGATCTATATATTTCATCATGAGGGAAAATGCTTGTGTGAACAGTAGATCAGAACCTAAAGATCTCCAGTTCACTTAAAACATGGAGATGCTTGTTAATTAGCATGGTGAGAACTTGGGGTTGAAACAAGGGATGTTTACTAGCTCAAGAAAATCTTTGCTTTTCTAGAATTTTTAAAAAGTAGAGAATAGAAATAAAAATGTGTGTGTTTTCTTTTACCCAGAAAAACAATCACCAAACTTGGTGGGGTAAGGGATAGGCACCTCTTGGCTCTTACCAGCCTTTATTAAAATAAAAGAGCGACAAAAGAGGAAGGAGGGGGCCAAGGCGTAGGGCCAACATCTCAAGGATACATTCCCCCCCAAGGATGCAACAAAGATAAGGAGAAGGGATCCTAATACAAGAAAGGCTAAACCAAAAGCGGTCTCTTTACAAAACTAACTGGAGTAACTGCAAAAGACAGCAAATCACTAAATTAACTCCACCAATAGCCCAAACCAGAGTCACCAATCCTGGAGGAATCGTTTCCAGGACTAACCAAACCGTGGGAATTGAGCTACTGAGCTCACCTAGAAGATCCAAATTTCTCCACATTGTTAGTTTATGGAGTCAAGGAACACAGTAAATCTAAACGAAGAATAAGTCCAAAGGACTCCAAAGGGGTGCTGAAGATCATCCCACGAGAACTCGGAAATGGTGTCCATCCTCCCAAATGACTAAGGTCAACTTGCTAGCCCAAAGATTAGGTTAAACAACCCATCATCATTTTATAACCTATATAACTAGATGAGTTGAGAGGTGGGGAGAAGCGGCTGGAAGGAAAGGAAGAGGAAGACCCAAACAGATTCGGATTTGAGGGTTCAGGAATGATATGTTACTTCTTGAGTTGGATGAGAGCATGACTTTGGAGAGGGTGAAGTGGATGGAAAATTTACGTGTTGGGGAATGATCTCATTTTTTTATCTTTGTTTTATCTTTTTATATCTTCTACTTTATCTTTATCTTATCTCTATCTTTTTCTTATCTTATCTTTTTTGTTCTTTTTAGCTCTTATTTCACATGGCGATTCATGTTAGCCGACCCCAAACTATTTTGGGACTAAGGCTTAAATGTTTTGTTGTTCTATAACTAGGTATCTGCAAAAGGAAAATGATGTCTGAAAGAATCAGTAGAAGTACCATTCAGTTATAACAGTATGCTAAAGCTTATGAGGCTTTCCTGAAATAAGGTATTCTCATATGTTCAGAATGAGTAGCCGTGTCCTTTCTATTAAACAAAAGTATTCCAGTCTTCAGCCATTTCACAATTTCATCAGATAATGTGTTGTTAATGTGTAGCAGATAAATAAAATCAACGGGATGAACCGTTGCCCAGATAATCAACGATAAATAAATACCGTTGCCCAGAGCCAAAAGGCTAAACCCACTTTTATTCCAAGATAGTAAGAATGAACCCTAGCAAGGGGTATAAATAGCTTCTACAAGAAACCCTAATCAAGCCCAAATTACTTAAACCCTAATTAAGCCCAATTTAACCTAACTAACCACTCTACTAATAATAGGCCCAACTAAAACATAACGATAAATTTTATAAATAAATAAAACTATAATCCCTAGCCCAGAACCGGCCCACGGAAGTGAGCCCAATCCCGTTCCCGCCCAGGTTCTTCTTGCTCTCTATCAATCCATCCCCCTTCAAATAACCTTGTCCTCAAGGTTGTAATTTCGCTGGTCGAGGACTGAAATTTCCAACCATGGAATAGACTGGAAAATATCCTTCATCGCCTTCCGGAACCTTTTCCCGGCCGGTTATTTCACAGTACTCATGTTGCTGGAGGTCCAACTCCTCATCCTCCTCAGCTATCATTACCCGCAACTGCTTAAAGGGACAGTCATGCCTTGGTGTAAATGGTTTCTTACACCTAAAGCATAATCCTTTAGCCCTCAATTCTGCGAACTCCTTTGGCGGAAGTCGAGTGAACTGAGAACGTGTCGTAGGCTGCCCGGACAGTCCTGACTTTGTCCTCGGGGGTTGTCCACTATCCTTCGGGAAGCTGCCACTTGATTCCTGTAGGTTGTCACCACTGGCAGTCAACGGAGGGCTCGTGTTTGGCCTTAAAAAGCTACTGGAACGTACACCTGAAGGATTATAAATTTATAATCCTGGTTGTCACTTCCTCCACGCTGGACGGACAGATTGTACTCCACATCACGAGCTAATTCCATGGCTGTCTCCAAGCTATTCGGGCGCAGCAACCGCAACGAACCCCGAACTGGTCCCTTTAGTCCATTCATAAAATACCCGAGGTAATGATCGTCAGATAACCCAGGAACCTGACTCGCCAACTGGACAAAGATCGAGGTATACTCCTCCACCGTCCCTGTCTGCTTGACCCCGGACAATCGCTCGAAACGACTGCCCGTAAACCGTGTGTCAAACCTCGCCACCAGTGCCTGTGTAAACTCTTCCCACATCATGCTAGGTTTCCGCTTCCTTAACCACGTTACCCAGTACAAGGCTGCTCCTTCCATGGCGACTACAGCCGCTGGTACCTTCCTCTCTGGCGGCGTAAAACTCAGTTCAAATTGCTACTCTGCCCTAGCCAGCCAACCAATGGGATCCGCCCCGTCAAACGAAGGAAGCAACGCCTCTTGCGTGACTCGCGGACGTCGCCCAGAAGCGGCGAAGCCGCCCTGGTCTTCGAAGTCGCCGCCGCTGCTGAAGGTGGCCGCCGTCTCGATTTGCGACGTCATCGCCGCCGCCGAAGCCCCGGACGCCGCTGTCGCCTTCCCTCCAGTTGCGCCTGCCGTCGTGAGCGCAGCCAGGGCGGCTGCGATCTCACCCAGTTGCGCACTCAGCGCATCAAGTTTCTGGTTCATCGAGGCCTGTTCGGCCTCCACCTCCGTCAAACGCTCCGTGTTAGATCTAGTCATTTCGGCGGAAACGGGATCCGGCAGGTCGGACCAATTAATGTGTAGCAGATAAATAAAATCAACGGGATGAACCGTTGCCCAGATAATCAACGATAAATAAATACCGTTGCCCAGAGCCAAAAGGCTAAACCCACTTTTATTCCAAGATAGTAAGAATGAACCCTAGCAAGGGGTATAAATAGCTTCTACAAGAAACCCTAATCAAGCCCAAATTACTTAAACCCTAATTAAGCCCAATTTAACTTAACTAACCACTCTACTAATAATAGGCCCAACTAAAACATAACGATAAATTTTATAAATAAATAAAACTATAATCCCTAGCCCAGAACCGGCCCACGGAAGTGAGCCCAATCCCGTTCCCGCCCAGGTTCTTCTTGCTCTCTATCAGTTGTACTCTCTGAAATATGCTGGATTTGAACCTGCAGTTCTATTTGATCAGAATTTTAATCCTGTTAATAATCCAGAGCAGCTCCCATGGACCTCTGTCCTCCAAGGTGTCGCAAATAGCCTTTTCAGAATCTGTTTCTGCAGCAATGGATTTCTAGCCACTCAGTTTAGCTATCTCATTACATTTCCATATTGCATAAACTTAACTCGTGAGGATGTTGCAGTGCGGAATTTGTTTCAGAATGCTATATCCCAAGTAACACCTCCTATGGAAGAGCTTGTTTCCTTGCGCTGCCATCTATATTAGTTTTAATTCATCATATAATCCTAGTTTGACTTCCTGATCCTCCTTAATCAGTTTGGAGTCCCCCAGATAATTGATAATGGCCTTGGTCTTCTGAGTCAGAGCCCTCTTTTCTGCCTTCATGCTCTGAACTTTGATCCAATTCCTGGTTTGCCATAGCTTTAATACTATTCAGGCTTTGCATCCACCCATTCACAGTTCAATTTTGTATGAAGCTGCATTCTCTCAGAGTGATCTTATAATATTATATGAACAACAACAACAACATCCAAGCCTTATTCCCAAAAGATTTTGGGGAATATATGGTTCATGGTCCAAGCCTTATATAATCTTATATATACAAAGTAAAATATCTGGTTCATGGTCTTCTCATGAGAAATATTGAGAGCTCATTTGGAGTTTTGTTCTATTTTTGACAATAGAATCCACAGGCATGAACCCCTTATTCTCCATGCTAGGATAGACATCTTGGGAGATCCATTTATTCCATATAAACTTGTATGAAAACTGTTTCTCCTGGTGATCCTAACATTAGTCATGGATTTTTGCTGTTCAAATTCACCATGAGCTGATTCATTCCAAACTATCCTTTTTCCCCAACATTAATTGCTAAAATCCTACCTATGTCAATTAAGTTTTGGGGTAATACAGCTCTTAATAACTTCATAATATGTTACCTATATCCCAATTTCAAACTTGAAAATTGTAAAACTGATGTTCAACTTTTCCATTTCCCCCTATTTTGGAGAACAAAACGAGCTCTTATCTAGAACTGGAGAACTTGAGATAAGGACATGCCTAAAGCGGCACTTCTCTCTCTAATCATTTCCACCAACACCAATACCAAAACCAACACCGTCATCACTTCAGTTGAATTCTGTTGGGGTTGATGGTATCAAATTTAGTGTCAATTGATTCTTAAAAATTAGTTAACACTATAAGTTAATGGATAAAGGCATCGTGAAAAGGTTTTACGATGGATTCCCTTCTTGACACCACCTCGCGGAGAAATAATGGTTGCAATTCCAAAATTTTCATTATGATAGGTGGCTTCTACTTGCATGGGAAGTATTATTAGGCGACAGTGAATTGAATTGAGTTTACGTTGTTGATATTGTGCACACGTCTCATTACAAAATCAATATTGTAAAATCATCATGTATAAGAGTACATCATGGATCATAACCAGTCTCTCCCCTAAAGTCCATATACAACTAATCCTCCTTGATTGAAGCTCTCTCTTTCTCCCTCCCTCTCAATCTTCATTCTCCACTCCTCCATGAAAAATCCCAAAATAAAGAGACTCTATGTTTTTTTGATGGCATAATGCTTGGTGATCAAGTGGTTGGTGGTAATGGAGTAACTTTGAAGTTAATGTACGGTGAATGGAAGTATATGGGTAATAAGGATCTTCACTTATAAAACTAAAAGTTAGCTGAGATATTAGTTACTCAAACCATCATTATGGGACTTCAATTTTGCTGAATCTCCTCCTCTTTTTCAATATAAGCTTATGGATTATATTATGGCTACTTAGATACTTAGATGATTATACTTATGGAAGTAGTTATTTCTAGTATGTTTTGTTAAGAAAATGTTACTAGGAACCTCCACTCGGAGTAAATATGAAAATTTTTGGGAGGTTTTGTTGAGATTCAAAAGTGAGAAACATTCTTTTGGAATTTATTGCTTGTCTTAGAATGTAGCTAATGCTTCATTATGTAATCAGGGTAGCTGTAATATCACCTTACTTGCAGTCCAAATTAAATACAACATTTAACTCCTTGATAACAACTAATCTAGCTAAATACTGAATAGTTACCCTACTAAACTATTAATTGTATTCGAGTTATCTAATCAACTAATAGGAGGTCTGATCTGAAGAAATACTCTGCAATAAGTTAGTACTTAAACATCAGAAGCTCATGTGCTGATAGCAAGGCCGTACATGCATCATGGTGGCTTATTTCCATATATGGATTCAGTTTTAGAACTTCTATGACTGTAATGGGAAGAAAAATTGATTGGCATGTCCTTGTCAGCTGTTCATTTTCACTTTCAGTACTTCAGAATTCAAAAGTGCTGGCCTTTTTTCAACTTATTTGGATATAAGTATGAATGTATGATTTCAATAATGTCTGTCTTTCCAAGGCAGGGAACCTGTTTAACTTTAATCCATTTTAATATTCCCGTAGTATGGAGTTCCAAGTGTATATCTTGTTTCTGCAGGTCATTGTCTTCATTGAACTTGTCTGATAACAAACTTAATCAAAAGAGTGCGAGAATGACCTTGCACACACTCCTCAGCACCTTGTCTAGCATATCCATTCTAGACCTTTCGGAAAACAATGTGAGTCTTGACATATACTCTGTTACTACCTCCGCCCATTTTATGTGCCTTCTTTGGGTTTGACACAATTAGTGGTTGAAAAAGTCAAAGTTGTGGTTGAGATTTGAGTTCAATAAACGGAAAGACCACGTATTTCTTTCCAAAAAAGGAAATGTGACACTTTTTTTCGACGGAGGGAGTAATTTATAACCATTAATTTACCAGTCTTATGATTTCCTTTTTATAATGCAGATTAATGGATGGCTTTCTCATTTTAAATGGCAGTCCACAAGTAGCATGCACTTACCTTGTGGGATGTCCAATTCATTGAAGTCTTTACGGGTACTGAATTTAAGGTATTATCTATATTTCCTATTCACAATCACTAAGCTCAGCAGCACCTGAAAGGGGACTTTGTTTCACTGATGTTTTTAGTCTTTGCAGGTAATAATAATATTTAGACCGTTTGACGCTAGTCGTTACTGGCTATTGACTCAAAACACAGACTGTAAATAGGCATTTTTATAAAGTTGTTTTTCCTTTTGCTAGATGATCTATCATTTCGTGTTGATAGACTCATTCTGTTTCAGGAACAACAATTTACAAAAGGATGACGTGGATTGTCTCAGATATGTGCAGATCTACATGCCTAATTTGGACAGTCTTGATTTAAGTGACAATCCCATTGAGGATGATGGAGTCAGGTTATTTGATTGTTTTAACTGCACATGCTTATCTAATTCCTATTTCCTAGATCATAAACCGTTTTATTTTTCAGGAGTTTAATTACTTACATTGAGGATAAATGTAAGATGGTTGAGTTGAGATTAGAAAACTGTGAGCTTACTTTCAATGGGGTGAGCCATCTTTTAGAATCTCTCTCTACTTTGCACAAACCACTTACCTCTCTTTCAATTGGTGGCAACACTCTTGGCAGGTTTGAGTAGTTTTTACAAGATACTCCGTATATTTTATATTTGTTTCTCTTAAGCAACACTAGTATTTCATTTTTATTTTACTTTTGCAGTGATATAGGAGAATCAATAGGCAAATTTATATGCACAGGCATTCTAGCTCTTGACATTGATGATGTTGGACTTGGTTCCTCTGGCTTCTCAAAAGCGCGAGAACACATAGTGGAAGACTCAAAGCTCTTATGCATCAACATAAGGTCAATCTAATTAGTGCACATATTTTCCTGTAATTTCTTTTTTATGAGAGGGGGGTTCTAAAAATTAAAGCTTCTTGAGACATTGTGCAGCAAGAATCGTGGTGGCATTGAAACTGCAAACTTTATGTCAAAGCTTTTTTTACATGCACAAGAACTTTTAGCCATTAATGCTGGATATAACCTCATGCCTGCTGAATCATTGGCAATCATAGGATCTGGCCTTGAAGTTGCAAATGGTAAATGTTCTGAATGCCTTTTTTGTTTTCCATCTATCTGAGTATCTGACACTATTGCTAAAACTAGTTGTGTAACGTGTTTGATGCACAGAATGACATAACATGTGAGAATCAAAGTTCAATATTCTAGTGTTGCATTTGAATATGTCATTAAATACGGAATATGACTCTCATTAGATTACTAAAAGTATGTAACCTCTTCTTTCAACATTTAAACTCTAATTAACTACCACTCTATTTTCCCAAACATTATATGCATATACAGTATACCTAGTTAAGTAATGTACTCAAAGTCTATCATCTAAACCTTTGATATAGAATATAACTCTAATTAGCGTATGTTTAAATGCTAATATGTTGTGCTTAGGGTAGCTGCTTTTTCTCAGAAAAGTTACTTCTTTAAATATTGACATCAAGTGATCTAACACTTACGTGCCAGTTTTATGCTCCCTGAAGCTTCCTCCTTAGGTGTGTGTTTGTGACTTTGTGTGTAGTTTTTTTCAAGAGCCGCTTATAAATGCACAAGTAACACATTTGGTGATGAACACTTGTGCAATCCAACTACTATTCTGTTAAAACCTAAAAGAACTAATTACTTCAGTTTAAACTTTTTTACTTCAGTAAAACAGAAAACTCAAAAGTGTCAATTTTTCCTTTTTCTTTCTACGGATTTTATAGGGAAGTTAAAAACGGCATACAATATATTCTCTCCTGAAATTTCTCCTAGTATAGCGCCGGGAACTTAAAGCTTTTCCTTTTCATTGCTTAGGGAAACTAGAGTTCTTGGACTTGAGTGGGAATGTATCATGTCAAAACCCTGCTGATGCATCTGTGCTTGCTAAGTTTGAAGTCTATGGAAAATTAGTTCTCGATTCTGCGTCATCTTCAACACTTAATGCACCTTATGATGACGAACCATAGTTACTTATAAGGGGAATGTAGTATTAGGTTTATTATTATTATTATTTTATTCTTAGCATATACATTGTCTTCTTGTTACGCGTTTTCTTAAAAAAGAATCTGTTTGATCTTGTACGCGAACACGTTATGTCTTAGTTCTCTCCATTTTTTGTCTCTGAAAAGGGGAACTTCTCTGGACTTTTGTATGAGAGCTTACGTATCTTCAAGTGTTTGGTTTATACAACTTGTTACAAACAACAGCGTTTGAATTTATCTTTCACGGGGTTATAGCTTATTTGATCAATGCAAGTTAATCTTTCAGGTGATCTGGCAAAATAAATTAGAAACACTTAAACAAGTTAAATATGATGGAATATAAATGAAAGTGAAAGTGTTATTACTGCTCCGTATTAGTTATTACAAACACTTGACCCATAACAATGAATATGACTAGTTTTAAGCTTCTACGTTTTGATTCATTTATTATGAATTATTAGTCTTAAACTTATAATTTGACTTTAATATATGAAATGATTACTAAGAGATGTCTAAAATTAGTTCATTTAGTGTATCTTTTTTATCACCCATACACATATTTTCTCTCTTTGTTTTCCGGTACGCTCTCCTTTCAAACCTTTTAGGTTGTTATTTATATCCTGGATTCCAAACGGACTCTATAGGTTATAGAAAGTTGGTAGGTTGGCTTGTCAATACACCCCAGGTACACCCTATATAACCCCCATTTTGTATTTTCTATCTTCCCACTTTTTTCTCTCCCCTCTCTCCCCACTCTCTTCTCTCCCTTTTGCACCATACGAACCCCCCTCCCCCTCTCCATCATCTTGTTCTTTCTTCCTCTTTCCTCTCTTCTTCTCTTTTTCTTTCCTTTTTATGTTTTATTAGCTAAGTTTAGAAATGATTCCTTTGAATCATTGTTGTTCATCTTCTTCTTCTTCTTTAACTCTTTCTTTTTACGTTTATGTACACCGACACTGGTTAGCTCTAAGTGTCTGTGTACACAAACGAAAATTGCATATGTACAGACACTTTTGTTTCTACACAGACAACTAGTGTCTGTGTACACCGACACTTGCAAACCATTTTTTTTTCACACCGACACTTTTTGTCTACACAGACAACTAATGTCTGTGTACATCGACATTGGTTTTCGTGCAATCAGTTACCAGCCTGGCAGATCTAAAAACTAATTTTATTCACACCGACAGTTTTACCGAAAGTATCTGTATTTGTACGTGTTTTTTCTGTGCGAATGTCAAATAAATGAGGTGTAATCCATGGTGTAACCCATGGTGTACACCAAGAATTTCCCCATGTTTTCTACTCCTAATATAGGACTGTCATGTTTTTTATTCTCAATATAAGAGTTATTACTGTCAAGTTTAGAAAATACTGCCATGTTTGAAGTCTGGTGTTGCCAAAACATGACAGTAATTAGTCATATTTCGGGAATAAAAAACATGGCAGTCCTATTTTGGAATTTTCAAACCTTTTGAGACCTAATTCGGGTAATATTCTCTATAATGAATTGTGAACCCTTTACAAGGCTCCCCAAGGGGGTATTTATCAGGGATGACTACGGGGCGGGTTTGGGGCGGGGTTCACTCCCCCATCCCCCGCCCCGTGTCTTAAAAGTTCCCCTCATCCCCGCCTCATCCCCCGTTACTCCCATACCCACCCTGTCCCTGCCCCACCCAGCTGTCCTCCACGGGTGCCCACGGGAGCCCCCATATATATATATATATATATATATTTTAGTAATCTTATTTGTGTATGATGGATAGTGTAACACCGACCCCGAGCATATTTACTTTTAGTAAATTATGTAATAAATCTTGAATGATGATTTATGAATTTGCGTAATTGTAAATTTTTATTATTTCTTTTACGTGAATAGTAAATTGCATGTGGGGCCCACAGCGGGAACGGGGACCGCCCGATAATTCCCGAACCACATGTTATATTCATCTTGGTCTAGATGACACCTATATGGTGGTGGATACTTTATTTGGGCCATAAGAAAAGCATCGAGTTGACCGGTTGGTCAAACGGGGCCCAATTACCGGTATTGGTAAATTAGCGGGTAACAGCCGGAAATGAGTTTCGGAGACTCCTAAATTAATGTTGGGGATAGTACATCCATTCTAAAGGCCCAAAATTGTTGGGAACGCGTGATATATTTTATCCGGCCCGATAAAATAAAAAATGACTAAAACAGTCCGAGAAATACAACTTTCGAGGCCGATTATACACACCGGGACGTAATGGGATGACCTCCCACATGAGTGGGGGCCACCCCACGATTTTGTGTGATCTAATTGACACATTGGGAGCTGAGTGAGTCAAATAAACATGGGCTGTGCATGAAGGGATGGCTGGAGACAACCAACCACTCCCTTGGCCATACCTCTTCATTGTTTTTGGCTTGGGTGAGGATAGATACCTCCCCCCTTCCATTTGACACCATTCACTCGACCAAAGCAGAGAGAGAAGCTCCAGGGAAGTCTCCTCTCCTAGTGCAAGCAGCAAGGAAGAGAATCCAAAGAGAAGAGGGTTGTTCTTGAGGTAAGAACTCAACAAACAATCTTGTAACTAGTTTTTTGTGTATGATTTTTGAGAAATCATATGGTGGATTGAACCATGAGTTCTACACGTCTAAAAGTGTAGAATATTGTTATAAAGTGGTGTTAATTAACTTAGAAGAGTTGGTGAATCGATAGGAGTCGAAATCGCCGGAAACCGCCACATATAGGGAGCTGTTCGTAGTTGCAGACTACGAAAGCCGCCCGGCTTTCGTGAAAGCCGCCCGGCTTTGGCCCAGAAATCCAGCTTTTCACTTTCAATCGGCCTAGAACGGGGATTGATCGAGGGGCTTAACAAAGGCAACTGTTGTAGCACATCACGAGGTGAGGATGGCTGACTATATTGCTTATAATTAGTGAGTTAATTTCATAAGAATGCCTAAAGTAATTAGATGGGATTTTCATGAATTATTAATGATTAATAATGCCTAAATGAAAATAATATGGATATGAGTAAGTGAAGCATGATATACAAATTTAGAATAATTGTGTTTGATTATGTGAAATGAATGGAACGGCTTGTTAATGGAATTACTATGATGACATTGTGATAAAATATACTTTACTTCATGTATGAAATTCATGAATGGATTAAAGTGATATTTTTGATATTGAGATTAAACTATATTTGGGTTGAGAAATCAATGGAAATGAAATGCAAATTGGGAAATAGGAACTTGGCATGTTCTAAGGTTATCCAATTAGTATCAAAATACTAGTCGGGGAATTAATATAAATAAATGATGAAACAAATCCTAAGAGGTAGGATTGTGAATAGATATGCCTTAAGTAGTCTCAAGAGATACTTAAGGATGAATGGTATGAACACTAAGGTGTGATAGGGGTAGGCCTAAAGGCCACCTACGGGAATTGATTCTAGGCATAGGGCTTGTTTGAGAATTTGATTATGAGAATAATTAGAATTGGACTCTAGGATGACATGGAGATGTAGTTGGGCCGAGCCCATTCCATGTAATATGATTAGCATGGAAACGTAGTTGGGCCGAGCCCTTGCCACGAAGTTATGGTTGGTATGGAAACGTAGTTGGGCCGAGCCCTTGCCATACAAATTTTGATATGATATATTGAGCTAAAGGATTGTATAGAGATGTAGTTGGGCCGAGCCCATGCTATACAATTGGGGCTCGATGGGACCCCACGGGGTTATCGTGACTCGCGGTCACGAGGGAATGGAAAAGATGAATTCTAAATGAGTATGGGCCTACGGGCTGACTACTTGACTTTATGTAAAGTAAGTACAGTTAAAAGAAAGAGGGGTAACCGAGGGTTATGGCCTATAATATAATAGTACCCTAAGTTGAGGGTCTTGGAAATTAAAATGTTGATTATACTTAGTATAGTTGCTATTGTACTTGTCAAATATTTCCAAGTACTGACCTCCCCTTCACGGGGGAGGCCACCTCACAGTTTCAGGTAGAACTTGAAGGTCGCTGCCATTGCCCGTTGCTTCGGGAGGAATCAAGGGAAGAAGACGTGGTTCGTGCTTCTCCCGTTCTGTTTTAAAAACAATTACATTAATGCTCATGGATAATATTTTCTGAATAATTACTTTGGGGGTTGCATGCCTAGTTATGCCAAGTGTGGCTTGAACAATTGTATTAATGTTTCCACTATTTTAAATGCATGTTTTACATTATGTTTGTTTATGGATGTACTATGTGTGAATGATATTCATGACGCCTTGTATAGTATGGATGAGTTGGACTGCGGTTGACTATTCGTACTGTACGACGGGTTGTTGACGTGTCCGGCTAGGTCCGGGGCGTGACAATTTAATTGGTATCAGAGCCTTAGTCCGTAAACATCATAATGAAGCTTCAAAATTTCTCTTTGAAAACGAATTTGAAAACCATTAGCATAAGGTTTTGTACTTATAGAACGTTTGGTACTTGAGTTGCAATGTCTCTAATTGTTAAGATGGTACCCTTAGCAATTGGTATGACGGTGATTTGAGCCAAAGGATGTCTTTAAGTACCTATTCGTCAATTGACATTTGATACGAGTCGAATGACTCATTCTCAATTTCTTTCAGAAATGGAAGGTACCGGAAAAGTGACTAGAAGAAACCCGACTGGCCGAGCACCGGGAGGATCCGTGCAAGGCAGTAGAGGGGATTCTAGGGTGTCCCGAGGACAGGGCCGTGGAGGCCAAGATCAGACCGTGAGTGACAGTTATGTGGAAACAGTCAACGAGTCCTATGAGTCCGAAGAGGATTCGACGTATCAACCGGGAACTGAGCCGGTTGAGACCCCATATGATGGGGAGTATGACGATGACAGTGAGGGGAGCGACGATGATGACGCTCTAGAAAGGATGGAGGAACTACTCCGTCAATTTCAACAGGATCGCCAAAGGCGCCGGGCAAGGCGTGCTTTGGGAGGGGCTTCAAGAAGGGGAAGCCATGCGGGTTCTAGGGGACATGTGGAGTCCCGAGTAGATCGAGGTGTCGAGGTCCCAATAATAAGGATCTCGAAGTACCTCAAAGAAGCAAGAGATTTGGGGTGTAAACCGTTCGATGGAACGGGAGATATATCCGTTGCGGCGGAGTGGATCAAGCGGTTCAATGAAGCGGCCCTTGACATGCAGCTGCCGCCAAACATGAAGATGAGAGTAGCAACAAGGTTGCTAGAGGGGATGGCGTCCACATGGTGGGACGGTGTCAAGGGGAAGTACGGTGAGGCCGTAACTTGGGAGAATTTCCGACAGGAATTCTTCAACCAATACTACTCCGACTTCGAGGTGAACTTGAAGAGGAGAGAATACACCAACTTGACCCAAGGAGGCAAGTATACCGTGAGGCAACTTGAGCACAAGTTCAGGGAGCTCGCGGAGTTCATACCGGAGTATGCTTGTGATGAGAACCGGATGGTGAATCACTTTTGGGATGCTTTGGATTTAGACGTGCGTGAGCGAGCAACACAATTGCCCAACATGACGTTTAGCCAAGTGGTGGAGCAGGGCCTGAAAGGGGAGAAAGAATGGGAAGAGAGAAAACTGAAAAACGCCGAGGAGGCGAAGAAGAGGAAATGGGAGAACACCGGCCCCCAAGGTTCTAGCAAGAAGGGGAACCACGGGGGAGGTGGGTCTTTCAGAATGCCCGCACCACCATCTAGGGGAAACCAAGGCCCAGGAGGGCAAAACTCGAGGTCACAAGGCTCGGGCATTAGCAGGTGCAACAACTGCAAGAGGAACCACGCGGGCAAGTGCCGCGATCCCCCTAGGTGCTACCAATGCGGGGAGACGGGGCACTTGAGATCAAACTGCCCACAACTCAGGCGAGTCATGGGTGCAGGACCTAGCAGCGGGACCACGGCAAGTAGGAACCGAGCAGGGGCACCTCACGCGAGCACGACGCACGGAGGGCCAAGTACAAGCAACGCGCCATCCGTGAACCAAGGCAAGACCCATGCTAGGGTCTATGCGATGACAGAGGTGGACGCACGTGCTAACCCGGACTCCGTGGCGGGTAAAATCTTAAACTCATGTTATTAACTCTATTGTATGCAATAGGAGTGTTTGGAATGTGCAAAATTTGAAACCCCGACGGTTTGGTCGGGATTGTAGGGGAAAGGGGAGGAAAAATCCCCGCCCTGGGCGAATGCCGCCCGGCATTTGACAAAAGCCGCCCGGCTTTCGTCTTGAATTATAGGGAAAATGCTGCGGCGACGAATGCCGACCGGTTTCCACCAAAAGCCGCCCGACTTTCGTCAACAATTAATCTGTAAAATCCTCGCAACCAAAAACCGGCCGGCTTTTGTAAAGACCGGCCGGCTTTCATAAATGCCTCACCTGGGGAAACTTCTCGCAGCTGAAAGCCGCCCGGCTTTGGCGAAAGCCGCCCGGCTTTCGTTGGGCCTGGGGATTTCTGCGCTGCTGAAACCCGGCCGGGTTTCGTAGAAACCGGCCGGCTTTGAGATCATTTCCTGAATAAATCTGCGGCGACGAAAACCGGCCGGCTTTCATGAAAGCCGCCCGGCTTTCGTGATTTTCATATGAGAATTTCTCTCGCAGACGAAAAGCGGCCGGCTTTCGTGAAAAGCGGCCGGCTTTCACCTGGATTCGTCCTAGAGCGGTTCTAAAGCTTAGAAACCGGGGAATTTTCGGACAGGTGTGAAACGGACCCCACCCGAACCGTGACCAACGTACTCTACGACTTAATAAACAAGCCTATTAATTAGATAGTGTGTTATACATTACTTATGAATGTAGGAACACTAAAGATAAACGGGAGAGACACAAGAATCCTTATTGATACCGGGGCGCAACGATCATTTTTGAGTGAGGCGTTCGCCAGCGGATTCAACGGACCATTTGTACCGATGACTCAAACCCTATTGGTGTCCACGCCTCTAGGGGATGATATCGAGAGAGATAGCCACTATCCATCGTGTGAGGTGGAGGTGGAGGGACAGAACTTGACGTGTGATTTCGTACCGCTGAGTATGATCGAGTTTGATGCAATCCTCGGGATGGATTGGCTTGAGAAACATCATGCTAGGGTCGATTGCTACACGAAGATTCTTGAACTCGAAGGCGGTGAAGGGTTGACCTTACGCTTCGAGGGAGATAGAGGCAAATCAAACAGTTGTATCATATCCGCCGTGAGGGCGAGGAATATGATGAGAAAGGGATGCCACGCATACCTAGCGTATGTGGTGGATAAAACCAAAGAAGAGATAGACATCAATGATGTGAGAGTAGTGTGCAAGTATCCGGACGTCTTCCCAAAAGACTTGCCGGGACTTCCACCCGATAGGGAGATTGAGTTCGTGATCGAGGTTGAACCCGGCACCAAACCAATCTCTATACCGCCATACAGAATGGCACCCGCTGAACTTAACGAGTTGAAAACCCAATTGCAAGAGCTATTGGATAACGGTTTCATAAGGCCGAGTCACTCTCCGTGGGGAGCACCGGTCCTTTTCGTGAAAAAGAAAGATGGAACACTTCGAATGTGCATTGACTATCGTCAACTGAACAAGGTCACAATCAAGAATAGGTATCCCTTGCCTAGGATTGATGTCTTGTTTGATCAGCTCCGAGGAGCGACGGTGTTTTCGAAGATTGACTTGAGGTCGGGGTACCACCAACTGAAGATAAAGGAGGACGACATACCGAAGAGTGCATTCCGCACAAGGTATGGTCATTTCGAGTTCCTAGTTATGTCATTCGGGCTAACCAACGCCCCGGCAGCATTTATGGACTTGATGAACCGAGTATTTCATAAATACTTGGACCGGTTTGTGATTGTGTTCATAGATGATATCTTGATTTACTCGAAGAGTGAAGAAAGGCATGAAGAGCACTTGATACTTGTTCTTGAGACACTACGGGAGAAGCAACTATATGCCAAGTTTTCCAAATGTGAATTTTGGCTAAGGGAGATTGGTTTTCTCGGGCATGTGGTTTCAGGATCAGGGATTGCCGTAGATAACAAGAAGATTGAGGCCATTACTGAATGGGAGAGGCCAAAGAACGTCAAGGAAATTCGTAGCTTCCTTGGATTGGCGGGGTACTGCCGAAAATTTGTGGAGAGATTCTCAATTTTGGCATCGCCATTGACAAAGCTCACTCGAAAGGGGGCCAAGTTTGTATGGGATGACCGATGTGAGAAGGGATTGCTTGAACTGAAGAAGAGATTGACCGAGGCACCGGTACTCGCACTACCCAAACAGGGTGTGGGGTACGATGTCTACAGCGACGCAAGCATCCAAGGGCTTGGGTGTGTCTTGATGCAGAATGGGAGGGTGATTGCCTATGCTTCACGACAGTTGAAGAAGCATGAGGTAAATTATCCCACTCATGACTTAGAGCTGGGGGCGGTGGTGTTCGCATTGAAGATTTGGAGACATTATCTCTACGGGGAAACATGTCATATATACACCGACCACAAAAGCCTGAAGTACGTGTTTACTCAAAAAGAGTTAAACATGAGACAGAGACGGTGGATGGAGTTGATAAAAGACTACCATCTAGTTATCGAGTACCACCCCGGTAAAGCCAACGTGGTAGCGGATGCCTTGAGCCGAAAGAATTCATCTGGGGCATTATTGACTAGCTTGAGGGCATTGAGAGCCCAATTGGAGGTATCTAGCGATGGTGCCTTATTAGCTAGATTCGAGGTTAGACCTACATTACTTGATGAAATCAAGAAGGGTCAAGAAACCGACGAAGAACTTATGAAGATCCGTGAACGCATGCTAGCGGGACCGGTTGAGGATTTCAGGGAGAGAGACGATGGTCTCTTATTATTTCGTGACCGAGTGTGTGTACCGTTGGATGATGAGCTCCGAAAGTCCATCTTAGAGGAGGCCCATTCATCGGCGTATGCCATGCACCCGGGAGGCACGAAGATGTACCGTGATTTGAAGGAGAGTTACTGGTGGTCGGGTATGAAGAGGGAAATAGCCGAGTACATCAGTAGGTGTCTTACTTGTCAGCAAGTTAAGGCAGAACATCAGCATCCGGCTGGGTTACTACAGCCACTTTCCATTCCTGAATGGAAGTGGGAGCACGTGACTATGGATTTCGTGGTGGGGCTGCCACGGACGATTAAGAACTATGATGCCGTATGGGTTGTGGTCGATAGGCTCACAAAGAGTGCACACTTTCTACCTATCAACACCACCTATGCACTGGAAAGGTTAGCCAAGTTGTATGTGGATGAGATCGTGAGGCTGCATGGGGTTCCTATAACCATTGTATCCGATAGAGATCCGCGATTCACATCACGATTTTGGCCGAAGTTCCAAGAATCTATGGGGACAAAACTGAAATTCAGTACAGCTTTCCATCCGCAAACGGATGGACAATCCGAGCGGGTTATACAGATATTAGAGGATATGCTGAGAGCTTGTGCATTGGAGTTCCAAGGGAGTTGGGACAACCATTTGGCACTTGTGGAGTTTGCCTATAACAACAGTTATCAGGCGAGTATAGGCATGCCTCCATACGAGGCATTGTATGGGAGGAGATGTCGTACACCTTTGTGTTGGGATGAGGTTGGCATGGCCAAACTCGAGAGCACGGAACTGGTGGAAATCACCAAGTCGAAGGTAAAGACGATTCGTGACAGACTTAAGGCGGCACAGGATAGACAGAAGAGCTATGCCGATAAGCGCCGAAGAGCCTTAGAGTTTAAGGTTGGGGATGAGGTATTTTTGAAAGTTTCACCTTGGAAAGGAATCATCCGATTTCAGAGCCGAGGGAAACTCAACCCACGTTACATAGGGCCATTTGTAATTCTTGAGAGAATTGGGGCCGTAGCATACCGATTACAGTTGACTCCGGAATTGGAAAAAATACATAATGTATTCCATGTGTCTATGCTTAAGAAGTATATTCCGGATCCATCTTATGTACTAGAGAAACCACCCGTGGAAATACGGGAAGACCTGAACTACGCCGTGCAACCGGTAAAGATACTTGATAGACAAGTAAAGAAGCTAAGAAGCAAGAAAGTTCCAATGGTTAAAATCCTTTGGAAAAGTGACCGAGTTGAAGAAGAAACTTGGGAGACTGAAGCATCGATGAAGGAGCAGTATGCATTTCTGTTTGAATAATCGATTGTGAATTTCGGGGACGAAATTCCCGTTAAGGGAGGGTGAACTTGTAACACCGACCCCGAGCATATTTACTTTTAGTAAATTATGTAATAAGCCTTGAATGATGATTTATGAATTTGCGTAATTGTAAATTTTTATTATTTCTTTTACGTGAATAGTAAATTGCACGTGGGGCCCACAGCGGGAACGGGGACCGCCCGATAATTCCCGAACCACATGTTATATTCATCTTGGTCTAGATGACACCTATATGGTGGTGGATACTTTATTTGGGCCATAAGAAAGGCATAGAGTTGACCGGTTGGTCAAACGGGGCCCAATTACCGGTATTGGTAAATTAGCGGGTAACAGCCGGAAATGAGTTTCGGAGACTCCTAAATTAATGTTGGGGATAGTACATCCATTCTAAAGGCCCAAAATTGTTGGGAACGCGTGATATATTTTATCCGGCCCGATAAAATAAAAAATGACTAAAGCAGTCCGAGAAATACAACTTTCGGGGCCGATTATACACACCGGGACGTAATGGGATGACCTCCCACATGAGTGGGGGCCACCCCACGATTTTGTGTGATCTAATTGACACATTGGGAGCTGAGTGAGTCAAATAAACATGGGCTGTGCATGAAGGGATGGCTGGAGACAACCAACCACTCCCTTGGCCATACCTCTTCATTGTTTTTGGCTTGGGTGAGGATAGATACCTCCCCCCTTCCATTTGACACCATTCACTCGACCAAAGCAGAGAGAGAAGCTCCAGGGAAGTCTCCTCTCCTAGTGCAAGCAGCAAGGAAGAGAATCCAAAGAGAAGAGGGTTGTTCTTGAGGTAAGAACTCAACAAACAATCTTGTAACTAGTTTTTTGTGTATGATTTTTGAGAAATCATATGGTGGATTAAACCATGAGTTCTACACGTCTAAAAGTGTAGAATATTGTTATAAAGTGGTGTTAATTAACTTAGAAGAGTTGGTGAATCGATAGGAGTCGAAATCGCCGGAAACCGCCACATATAGGGAGCTGTTCGTAGTTGCAGACTACGAAAGCCGCCCGGCTTTCGTGAAAGCCGCCCGGCTTTGGCCCAGAAATCCAGCTTTTCACTTTCAATCGGCCTAGAACGGGGATTGATCGAGGGGCTTAACAAAGGCAACTGTTGTAGCACATCACGAGGTGAGGATGGCTGACTATATTGCTTATAATTAGTGAGTTAATTTCATAAAAATGCCTAAAGTAATTAGATGGGATTTTCATGAATTATTAATGATTAATAATGCCTAAATGAAAATAATATGGATATGAGTAAGTGAAGCATGATATACAAATTTAGAATAATTGTGTATGATTATGTGAAATGAATGGAACGGCTTGTTAATGGAATTACTATGATGACATTGTGATAAAATATACTTTACTTCATGTATGAAATTCATGAATGGATTAAAGTGATATTTTTGATATTGAGATTAAACTATATTTGGGTTGAGAAATCAATGGAAATGAAATGCAAATTGGGAAATAGGAACTTGGCATGTTCTAAGGTTATCCAATTAGTATCAAAATACTAGTCGGGGAATTAATATAAATAAATGATGAAACAAATCCTAAGAGGTAGGATTGTGAATAGATATGCCTTAAGTAATCTCAAGAGATACTTAAGGATGAATGGTATGAACACTAAGGTGTGATAGGGGTAGGCCTAAAGGCCACCTACGGGAATTGATTCTAGGCATAGGGCTTGCTTGAGAATTTGATTATGAGAATAATTAGAGTTGGACTCTAGGATGACATGGAGATGTAGTTGGGCCGAGCCCATGCCATGTAATATGATTAGCATGGAAACGTAGTTGGGCCGAGCCCTTGCCATGTATATGTGACCTCCGTGGAAACGTAGTTGGGCCGAGCCCTTGCCACGAAGTTATGGTTGGTATGGAAACGTAGTTGGGCCGAGCCCTTGCCATACAAATTTTGATATGATATATTGAGCTAGAGGATTGTATAGAGATGTAGTTGGGCCGAGCCCATGCTATATAATTGGGGCTCGATGGGACCCCACGGGGTTATCGTGACTCGCGGTCACGGGGGAATGGAAAAGATGAATTCTAAATGAGTATGGGCCTACGGGCTGACTACTTGACTTTATGTAAAGTAAGTACAGTTAAAAGAAAGAGGGGTAACCGAGGGTTATGGCCTATAATATAATAGTACCCTAAGTTGAGGGTCTTGGAAATTAAAACGTTGATTATACTTAGTATAGTTGCTATTGTACTTGTCAAATATTTCCAAGTACTGACCTCCCCTTCACGGGGGAGGCCACCTCACAGTTTCAGGTAGAACTTGAAGGTCGTTGCCATTGCCCGTTGCTTCGGGGGGAATCAAGGGAAGAAGACGTGGTTCGTGCTTCTCCCATTCTGTTTTAAAAACAATTACATTAATGCTCATGGATAATATTTTCTGAATAATTACTTTGGGGGCTTGCATGCCTAGTTATGCCAAGTGTGGCTTGAACAATTGTATTAATGCTTCCGCTATTTTAAATGCATGTTTTACATTATGTTTGTTTATGGATGTACTATGTGTGAATGATATTCATGACGCCTTGTATAGTATGGATGAGTTGGACTGCGGTTGACTATTCGTACTATACGGCGGGTTGTTGACGTGTCCGGCTAGGTCCGGGGCGTGACAGATAGTGTACCCGGGGGTAGCTTATCCGAGGGGTTATTGCGGAGAATAACTAGAGAGAAGTCAGAGTAAATAAGTAAGAGAGAGAGTGTATATTCGATATGTATTAAGCGTATTTTGCTTGGGTTACAAAAGGGGAAATGGGGTGCTATTTATAGTAGCAATAAATGCCAGATAGGGACACGTGTCAAGCATCCATTGGTCGAGGGGTCACATCAACTGCTTGGCGCTGGCAATCGCATGTGGCCGCATTTAATGCGGCTGTTGGATGTGACGTTGTACTTGTACGGTGATTCAGGCGCATGTGGAGTGGATATTATGTCGAGAAAGGTGCCCTCGGCTGTAGGTGATTAGTCGAGGGCTCTGAGTACCGGGGACCTCCTTAGTGCCGAGGGCTCTAGGTGCCGAGGGTTACTGATTTTCGCCGTTTTCTCCCAGTAATTTTGTTCGCTTGAGTTGGCCATCCTGTGAGAATTTGGAGCCTTCGGCCAGGGGGGGCGAAGGCACCCCCAGTGTGCTGCGTGGGTTGCTCAGTACTTGGGGCGCTGTGTTTTGGGCCTGCTGTGCCCCCTGGGACTATTGGGCATTTATCAGAATAATAGGAGTCTATGGGTCGGGGGTTCCTGGGCCATATACTCCATCAGGAGTCCCTCACTCCTTTTGTCGAAAGGTACTTGAGGGAAAAGGAGTAATCTGTGTTTGTCCTTTTGGCGTTGTTCCGTTGTAGTTTGTAAAGTATGTGAGTAGTTTGTTGTGTGCATGTTTCAGCCGAGGGCAGTCCCTTAGTTACCCACGTTCCGGGACTTGAGGGATCATGCTCGTTGTTGTGGAAGTTTTTGACATTTTTTGTATTTTGAGATTTTCTCGAAGGGTCCTCCAGTCCCCCACTCCTTGAGGCACTTGCAAAGTGGTGAAAAGGAGTGGAGTAGTGCCTGCCTGCAATATAGAGCCGAGGGGTGACACTTTTCGTTACATTTTGGGGGGATGCCTCGTTAAAAACCTCGTTGGAAAAAACCATGTGGAAAAAAATTCCAATGAGGGAAAAAGAGTGCACCGATTTCCCCCAATGATGAGTCGAAAAGGTGAAATCCTTGCTTGGAATGGGTGGCAATATTATTAGCCGAAGGCTATCTCTGTCTGAAGCCGCGTGTGTTGATTTTCCGAAGGTTCACTGTTGTTATCCTGAGAGATGCCGAAGGGGGAGCCCTCAAATTATGAGAATGAGGGCGCGACGAATGTGAATGATATTTCCGGTGTTGCCGAGGGGTCCCTTGTTTATTTACAAGTGGGGTGCTGTGGTGCCCCGAGGTGTTCCTTGTTGCGTGGCCAGGGTTACGTGGCCCTCAGTGTGTTTGAGGGCTGAGGGTTCCCGACGGGTGTGCCCGTTGTGAAGCCGTGGGCTTCTGGAGGAGTGAGCCCGAAGGCATTCGTGATGCGGTATGAGGGGCCTAAGCTGAGAGCATCTCTGGGAAAGTGTACCCGGGAGCTCCTCTTGACGAAGTGGAGTGAAGGAGAAAGCCCGGGGGCTAGTTTCTTGGCTGATGAAGGAGTGGTCTGCCGAACATAGCCGGGAGCTCCCAGAATATAGCCGTTGTAAATAGAGCCGTTAGAATTCCTAACGTCAGAAATATAGCCGTTGGGGGAGGGCTTCCACGTGGTGTGCGTTCGTTGGCTTTTCAACCGGAGGCCCGGTTTCCGACCCAAGCCCGGATCTGTGGCGCCTATAAATACCCAAGGCCAGAGGACTTACCCATTGTGCGATCATTGTTGTTAGCGGAGCTCTGCCAAATTTTCTAGAGAGAGAAACTCCTGCCCTCGATTCCAAGGTCAGTTCCCCACTCGTCCTTCACCCTTCTTAGCTAGTTGTGCTTAGTGGCCTTAGATTTAGGAGTTGTACCTTAGAGCACTTAGCATCTCCGAACCCTCGACCTAGTGTAACAATGTCATCGCAAAGCCATTCTCAAGACATATCGAGGGAGCCCTCGATGGAAGAGGGGAGTTTTTCCGATGTGGGGTCCTCGAGCGAGCAACCCTCGGCCCATGAGGATGCCGCGATGGCCATGGAGGTACAGAAGGACCTCGTGGCTGAAGTCGAAGCTGAGGACTTCGAGCAGGTGGTTGAAGACGAGGAGATGGCCCTCGACGTTCAAGTTGCGGAGGAGGAGGAGCACAGGGAGAGAATGAAGGTCACCATCGTTGTGCCCCCCCTCGTGGTGCTGGTGAGGCAGGGAGCTCTCGGCCCCTTAACCCGACACCTCTAAGGGTGGCCCCCGGGAAAAAGCAGGAGAAGAAGAAAGCTGCTCCCAAGAAGAAGGGCATTGCTGCTGATCAAGGAAAGCCCATTGATATGCCCGAGGGGTACTCTTGGCTGAATACCGCTGCCCTCGAGATAGGATCGAAGGCTGACCGGGAAGATCTTTACGTCACTCAGCTGCATGTGGGGCCTTCGGCCGTGGTGGTGGCGCCGGGTCCTGATGATGTGCTCTCCCGGGCTCCCGAGGGTTGCATCGCCGTCCACATTCTATCTGTATCGATGGGGCTCCGGTCCCCCCTGCACCCATTCCTTCGGGAATACATCAGGTACGTGGGTTTGGTCCCCTTCCAATTGACGCCCAATAGCCACTCCTATGTGACAGGCTTTCTGAATCTCTGCCGGTCCCGAGGTGTGACCCCCATCCTGGATTTGTTCTTCTAGAGTTTCAACCTCTGTCGGGGGGGTCATGCGAATGTCGATGGCTTTGCGAACCTGCAGCAGATAGCTAGGTGGAAACTGTTTACCGAGGCGCCCTCATCAAATAAAGGCTGGAAGGAGCGGTGGTGTTACGTCAGAGTGGACGAGAGCCCATTCTCGAGGGAGCTAAGGGATCGCTTTCGGCGTCATCCGAAGGTCGGAAATGCTGCTCTCGAGAAGGATGGCTTGATTATAGCCAAGATTCTGGAGGGTCGCACGAAGAATGTGTCCATTAAAGATTACATTCTTGACAAGGATCTTTACGCCCTCGGCTTCTGGAGATATCGCTTCCTCGCTGAGACAGACGAGAAGTACCCTGAGTTGGACAAAGCCTTCGAGGGAGCAGGAGGTAGTAGCCGAGGGCTTCCTATTTTGTACTTAGGATTTTTTCCTTCTTTATTTTTCTTGTTCACGCTTTCTTACCCTTCGGTCTAACTGTTTTTTGTCGTTTGCAGGTGCGAACATGGACGCCGGGAAGCTTTTTGCTCTGAAGAAGAAGAAGGGCAAGGCCCAAGCTCAAAAGAAGGACCCCTCGGTCCAGCAGCCCGTTGAGGCTTTTTTCCAGAAGGAGACTCCGGAGCCCTCTGCTGCGGATGTAGTTACCGGTGTGGCCGAGGGGGCCACAAAAAAGAAGAAAGGCAGCAAGGCAGTAGAGCCCCCTGCCAAGAAGCAGAGGGGTCCTGGGGATATTGCTGGCCAGGAGGCCCCCTTGGTGATCATAGAGGATCGCCCCTCTCCCGATCCCTCGGTTGGTGTTGCGGCGACAGTTCGGACTGATCTTCCCCCGGGAGATTCTGCAACTCTCCTTGGCCCCGGGGGCTTCTGTGATGCATGGCTCAGCAGAGCCGAAGGCCTTCCTGAGGGGGATCACCTCGGCGATGGACAAGGCGGCCCTCTCCACTTATGACGATGAGGCCCTCGATAGCAAGATCTTTCGCTCTTCACTAGCTGTAAGTTTTCTCCCTTGCTATTGTGTTAACCTTTGATGTATTTCCAATACTCGCCTAACCCCTCCGCCTGTTGTTTATCAGACTTGCATAGCCCTCGGGGAGCATGCACAGAGGCTCGAGCAATGGCGCCTCCAGAAGGCGGAGCAGGATCGGGAGATGAAGGAGCTTGTCCTGAAGAACTCTGATGTTGTGAAGCAGATGGCCCTGCTGGAGGAGGATCTCCGGAAGGCTACCGAGGGCGCCGAGCAGAGGATCAAGGCTGCCGTGGAGGAGGCCAGGCTCGAAGCCGAGAGGGCTGCCAAGAAAGTTGCCGAGGAGGTGGAGTCCGCCAAGGCCGAGGCCATCGCCGGAGCCCGAGAGGATGCTGTTGCTGCATTCATGGCCGAGGGCTGGAAAACCAAGGACAGGCAGCAGTGGGTGGCCTCGGTCGTGGAGTCTTCAGTAGATAGCTGGGTGAAGGGCCCCGGGGCCGACTGGATGGCAGAGAGGGGAGACAACTATTATAAGGGAGGTGAATTCTTCACCCAACATCTAGTGTACCGGAGGCTCGCCAGGCATTTCAAAGTCTCCCTCGAGGAGTTCGACCCCTCGGCGTATGGCCTTCCTCCTCTGCAGCCGGATGTAAGAAACCACCTCCCCCTAGGAGAAGAGAGGCCGGTGATCCACGATTCCATGATGATGGGGGGATCCGGCGATGGTGATGTCGAGGCTGCTGTCGGGGAAGAGGTCACCTCGAAGCCCGCTGAGGAAGGGAAGGCTGAATGAAAATTTGTACTTAGCAATTTTTGAACATTTTTTGTAATGAATATCTGTATGCTTTCGGCCTCAACCCTTCTGTAATAGACATCTTAACTCTCCTTTCCTTTCAATGAATGAATGTCTGCCTTCGGGCTTTTATATATGAATGTATCTTGTTTTTGAATGTATGCCTTCGCTTTCTCTGTGAATGAATGCATGTTTGTGCGGTATTCTGGCCGGGGGCAAAATTTTAGGACTTAGAAAATATTTCTCTAAGTATAGTGCATCCCATAGCCCTCAGCTACTAGGCCCATTTAGTCATCTGAATGTCTCACCGAGGGCCACACGTTCAGGACTTAGAAATCTTTTCTAAGTGTCGTTCATCTGTTGGCCCTCGGCTAATTCCTTCCCTCTGGTTCTGTGCAGCCTTCATGAGATAACCAGAGGCAAGGCGCTTGGGACTTAGAAAATTTCTTCTAAGTGTTTGAATACCGTCTGGCCTTCGGTACGTGGGCACCCTTCGCTGCATGGATATATAACCGAGGGCCCAAAATATTTAGGACTTAGAAAATATTTATAAGTGTAGTTTCACCAAGCCTTCAACCGTGTGGCCCCTCTGGCTGCATGGAGATTTGACCGAGGGTCAAAAATATTTAGGACTTAGAAAATATTTCTAAGTGTAGTTGTATGAGGTAGGAGCCTTCGGTGAAATGTGAGAGCCTTTCGTAGGAGTGCCTTCGGTTGACCGGTGGCTCGACAGGGGGCAAAGCATTCAGGACTTAGGAAAAATTTCTCTAAGTGTTGTTTTACTGAGTCTTCGGCTGCGCAGCCCCTTCGGCTGTCTGAGGATTTGACCGAGGGCCAGGATATTTAGGACTTAGAAAATTTTTCTAAGTTTTGCTTGTCATCTGCCCTTCGGCCTACGCCTTCGCTTGGTTGCATTGAATAGGCCTTCGTTGCATGATGGGTTGGCTGAGGGCCAACCATCTAGAGCTTGGGACATTTTCCATATTCAATGGTGAATAGACCCTTCGGTTTGTAGTATCCTGAGTAAGAGATCCCTCGGTGATTAGAAGTTGCCTTCGATCTTTGTTGATTAGAAGATGCTTCGGCATTATTTGAAATTTTGTTGAGTGAACCTATCAAGTTCTGTATGATTTGAACCTTCGGTCTTTGATGTATCCGGAGGTAATCAAAAAGTGGGCTTAGCCATTTGTCGATGATACTTGTTGAATAGTATCCTTGGTAATTTAGGAACTTCCAGGTGCCGAAGGTGTTCCCATGGGGAGCCCTCGATATGTTTCCGTGAATTGTTGGAGTGGTGTACTCATTGATTTCTCGCTGAGTCTACTCTCCTTCACCACCCCATTTTTTTGTAGTGAAGGGAAGGCTTCAAGAAACTTGGTTTTTTGGTAAGGCTTGGCCTATCGGGAGGCAACAGAATACACCATTAGCTCCCCCCTCGGGTTAACCTTCTGAGTTCCGAGGGGATCGAGGGTCGTTTCCCGGGCATAAGACATGGTCTGTAGCCTGCCTCCCCTTGGGAGATGGCACGGAAAGCGCCTCAGTTTTGAAAGTCGCCCCCTCGGCGCCAGACATAGTCTGTGGCCTGCCACACCCTTGGGGTAGTGGCGCGGGGAGCGTTTCGATTTGGAAGTCGAATCCTGGGCATATTAGATGCATGTCATACCCTTGGGGTAATGGCGCCGAAAGCGTTCCATTTTTGAAAGTCGAATCCTGGGCATATTACATGCCTGTCATACCCTTGGGGTAGTGACGCGGAAAGCGTTTCAGGGAAGGGCTTTCATTTGCACACTGGTTGCAAATGGTCGGGGCACTACGTGCTACCGGCACCGATAGGTGGCGCCTTCGGTATATGCGTCCTCGAGGGGTACGGCTTTAGGAACAACATTTGGTGTTTGTTCCGGTGTACGGCCCCCGACACTTGGTACCGAGGGGTCTTCTGTAAAAAACATTTGGTATTTTTACTCATTTGTCGTAGGTGATTGAGGTGTATACCCTCGGCACTTGGTGCCGGAGGGTCTTCAAGGGAAACACTTGGTGTTTTTCTTCCGTTTGTTGGAAGTTGATAGTAGTGCATCCCCCTGGCATTGGGTGCCGAGGGGTCTTCATTGAAGACAGTTCGTATTTTCTTCCTTGTTGTAGGTGATAGTATTGCCTACCCTCGGCACGTGGTGCTGAGGGTTCTTGTTCAAGATAAGGCCTTGGGCCAGGGGCTGAAGTGAGGGTTTGGCCACTCGTAAGAGTCTTGTTCCATGGTCTTGGTGTCTTCAATATGCCTTCATTCTTCAAAATCTGAGGCCTTGGGCCGTAAAATAATACATTCACTCGTTATGAGGGCTTTGCCGCTCTAATGTTATTGATAAAATTTAACTAAGTGATGTACATTCCAGTGTCTAGGGACCTCAGTCCCATTGGGGCGTTTTAGTTTGTAAGTTCCTGGTTTGATGATGGCCGCCACGATGTAGGAGCCTTCGAACTTTGGTGCCATCTTTCCTCCCTCGGTTGGTTGACTAGCTTCCCTTCTTCGGAGGACATAATCCCCCACTTGGAATTCCCTGGAGCGGACTTTGGCGTCAATGTAACGCTTCACTTGCCTTCGGTAGTTTTCCGCGCGTATGAATGCTTGCTCTCGGCGTTCTGAAATAAGGTGAAGGTCGAGGGCCATATTGGCGTCGTTGACCTCCGGATCATATTGTGTGACCCTTCGGGTCGGAAGAGTTACCTCAGTGGGGGCCTTAGCTTCAAATCCGTAGCACAGGGAGAAGGGTGTCTCGCCTGTTGCTCGGCGAGGGGTGGTACGGTAGGCCCATAAGATGTTGTGGAGCTCTTCTACCTAACCACCCCCTTCGGCCTCCAGTTTCTTCTTTAGGCCCTCGAGCAAGGTCCTGTTGGCGTTCTCCACTTGACCGTTGCCTTGAGGGTAGGCAACGGATGAGAAGGCGTGTTTGATGCCCCACGCCTCTTGGAGGGCACAAAAGGGGACTGCCTCAAACTGAGTCCCATTGTCGGAGTTGATTTGCTGGGGGACGCCAAACCTTGTGAGGATGTTTTTTAGAACAAAATGACGGCATCTGGCCTCAGTAATGCTAGCGAGGGGCTCGGCTTCCACCCATTTGGTGAAGTAGTCGATGGCGACAATGATGTACCTGTTGTTGGAGGTACCCCTCGGCAGAGGGCCCACGAGATCTATGCCCCATCGAGCGAAGGGTATGGATGTGCTGATGGGGGCGTAGTTGACCGCTGGCCTGCCGGGGGCTTTCTGGAAGTGTTGGCATGTGGTACACCTTCGGGCGAGATCTGCACAATCCCGGACCATCGTAGGCCAAAAGTAGCCCTGGATGATTAGCCTTCGGGACATGGAGAAGGGTCCCTGGTGAGCTGAACAAGTGCCACTGTGCACTTCCTCCATCGCCACTTTGGCTTCATCTTGATGAAGGCACCGAAGTAATGTCCCGTTGTACGATCTTTTGTAAAGCCTTCCGTCCTTGATAGTGTAGCTGGGAGCTCTCAGCTTTGCCATTTTGGCACGGGCCTCATCCTCGGGCAGTTGGCCCGTGGTGATGAAGGCGACAATGTATGAGATCCAGTCTTCTTGCCTTTGTTGTATGTGCATGATGGGGCTAGCATGTATGCTGGAGAGGCTGAGCTCCTCGATCTTGGCAATCTTTGAGATATGCTCAGGGGATTCTTCCGAGAGCTTTGATAAAATGTCGGCCTCGGAGTTTTGAGCCCTCGGTATTTGAGTTAGAGAGTGTGCCTCAAATACCTTAAGCAACTCCTTGGCCGCTTCTTTGTACTGCCTCATTCTTCCTTCCTTGGCTTCGTACTCCCCGGAGATTTGGCCGACGACTAACTTGGAGTCGCACTTGACGTGAATCTGTCGGGCCTTCATGTTAGCTGCCAGCCGAAGGCCACAGAGGAGGGCCTCGTATTCGACTTCATTGTTAGAGACTTTGAAAGAGAAGCGGACTGCATAATAGGCCTGGAAGCCTTCGGGTGAGATGAGGACCACCCCTCCTCCACATGTTTTGACAGCGGAGGAGTCGTCGGTGTAGAGGCTCCACCAGTCGTCCGAAGGGGCCGAGGGCTCCTCGTCCGTGGCTGATCTTGTTGTACATTCCGTCACGAAGTCCGCTAGGGCTTGGCCCTTGATGGCGGGCCTAGGACGGATGTCGATGTTGTATTGGCTCAGGAAGACAGCCCATTTTACCATTCGGGAGAAGCTGGTGGGGCTCCTCATCAAAGCGCCGAGGGGTTGGTGAGTGAGGACCTGGACCGGGTGAGCCTGGAAGTAATGGCCCAACTTCTTGACAGTCCACACAATAGCCAACACCGTTTTTTCCACAGGGGAATACCGGAGTTCTGCTTCTCTGAGGGTCTTGCTAACATAGAAGATGACATGTTGGATGCCATCCTCTTCCCGGATGAGTACTGAGCTGATGGTTGTCGGGCTAACACCCAGGTAAAGGTATAGGATCTCCCCCACCTTGGGTTTAGAGAGCACAGGGGGTGAAGATAAGTATCGTTTCAGTTCCTCGAAGGCCCCCTGACACTCTGAAGTCCACTGGAAACCGGCGGTCTTTCTCATGATCTGGAAGAAGGGTAAGGACTTCTCCGCCGATTTTGATAAGAAGCGATTGAGGGCTGTCAGGCGGCCCGTCAATCGTTGGACCTCCTTTACGTTGCGTGGGGGCTCCATGTTGATGATGGCCTGGATCTTCTCGGGGTTGGCCTCGATACCCCTTCGGCAAAAATTAAAAAAAAAAAAGCTTCTTAAGTTGAAAACCCACAAAGGGAAGCTTAAGCAAAAATAAAGCAAAAATAAGAGTGAGTTTGTGAGATTTATTAAAGAAAAATTTGGGAAGCTGGGTTGAAAACCCGAAAGGGCACCTAAGCAAAATGAGAGAATGAGAGAAAGTATT